GTTCATTAGCATTAAACTTAATTGATTGATGACTTCACCATCACAGTCAGGCGTGATTTGCATAGAGCCCAAAAGGTTGGTTTGATAGAAAAAACAAATATACGAGTATACGCGATTTAGATTTTAATAAAATCATTTCCCATAAGACATTACAAGTTTAACGTATCTTCCAATGGAAGATAAATGGCAGAAGAAGGCCTGGATGGCACATTGGATGATATCGCGGACTTACTACCTTTGTTACGTTGTTTTACATGTAGCTGTGCTTAAAGTATCATCATCAACAATCCATTTATACGTTCCTTTCCTGGGCACGGGTCTCCGTTCAGACGAGGTTTTAGGCCACAGTCCGCTGGCCCAATGCGGGTTGGGGATCTTCTTCAAAGTGCAGGTTTCATAACGATGTTTTCCTTCACCAAAACGCTCGTGATAAATTTCAAATTAAATTTCGTATATAAATTCCGAGAAACTCAAAGATGCGAGGCCGGATTCGAACTCACGACCCTCTGCTTGAGAAGCAGTAAGTCAAATTAGGCTTAAAGTATAAATGGCTCTAATTTTAGTTAACCTCCAATATGGCACTTAAAAAAGAAACAAATTCCATAATGTGAACTATAAATACATTCGTCTCCTGGACGCGAAATGCCATGGCGAATCTGGAAGTTTTTAAATAGGCGGACTTAAGTGGTCGGAGTAAGGACAATTTGTTCAAGTGGGGATTTTCGGATGTTTCTAACCTGGATTGTTTGTGCGATGCGATTCAAACGATGCCCACCTCACATTGTGCTTTGCGTGCCCTAATACCTGCGTACTTGAGGATTTAATGGCGGCTGCTAGTGACGCAGTCGGTGTGGCTGAGTTCTGGGCCACAATAGTATAGTGTTGTGACGATGCGACCTCTTTTATCGTCATCCTAACTTTTTATCACCCTTCTCTCTGGTTCGTGGCCATTTTTGAAATTTTGAATCGTACTCAAATTTTTTTTTCTTCGTCATTCTTACTTTGCTTCGTTCTGTCGTCACTGCCATCAAAATTCTCGAGGAGAAAAGACGTGTCTTTCAATCATGTAACCCTAACTGAAAGCAGCAATATACAAATTAATACAGGCCCTTTTGGGGTCAGTTCACTTACGTTTATGTCTAATCTGTAGGGAGTGTTTTTATATTATTGTACCTGTTTTTATACCATTGTTTTGTTACAGCATTTCTTCTCCTTTTTCTTCATCTTTTCCCTACTTTGTTATTTATTCCTTTATTCCTTCTACTAAATCCATGCGGACTGAGCGTTTCTATCATTGTTACGCAAGACCTGGGTGTACAGTGTGTGCCATCGATACGATAAGATGAAATATGGTAAAACTACGTGTCCCTTAATTATTCAGTAACTACGTATAATATTACAAACCTCTTCAAGACGTGATTGTTCAAGTAGTTGCCATTTCGTTTGGTCGTAGAAAAGTTAAATACACTTCAGGGGTCCTTAAGTATAAATGTTGTTGTTGTAACAAATGTTAGGTGGATCAATTATTATTTTTTATGATTCTAACCCGACTAGTAATCTAGCGAAGATCCAGAGAAGGCGATGCAGTAGGCCCAGGACCGTACCTTGTGGTACTCTATTGGAGTAGCCTATTGTTTAGGCGCAAGTATTGCTATATTATGTATATATAAGCGTTATTGCGCTTTTAAGTGTCATTTATGTCATCTATGCTGCGTACACTGCAAAGGATTATGGAAAATCATTAAAACAACAGAATCCAATCATTCGAAAAGTGTATTCATACTTATAATTCTTACAAATTAATAAGTCTTATTTAATATATTTACAATCACCTATTTCGACTTTTGGTTAACTTTGAAAATTAATTTATACGATTAAATTAATATTAATACTATTTATAACCTAACGTAGTTATACGGTGCGACTAATTAATTTGTCGTAAGAAAACATTACTGGAAACTTATTACACTCAATACATATCCAATTATTTCTTTACTTCACTGGGTTTATTACAGAGTTATTAGAAATAATTTATATATCTTAACCAGTCTTCATTCTTATAAACTACTTAATCGTTCGATTTTGGGGAAAATGCGGATTATATACCCCACATACCACATGCAAAATAGGCGCCAATGTCTCTAGTTGCGCACCACATGTACCCCACATACATTACCTTATTACGCAGCCAAAGAAGATATAGCTTCTTTTACCAAATAAAATAGATAAGAAACGAACGTCTAGTAGTTCCTAGTGTAATATGTAGCGCAAATAGCCTCTTTTCTTGTATTATACAAGTTAATCTACGGCTATAGGATACGGGGGGAAAGTAATTTAATACAATATATCGATACCTCCCATGTAAGTAACTGTAAGTCAAAATACCATTTAAAAGTGAGGAAATCACTTAGTGTTATGTTTACTTTCAAACACGAAACCTGTGATCTTCATAAAAAAGGATATGTTAAAAAGCAAAAATGTTATTTTGAGGGATATGTTGTTTCATAGATACATTGTTTTATAACTGTCTCCGTGGCCGAACGATTACCATGTCGGACTGCCACTCAGAGGTCCCAGGTTCAATTCCCGGGCCGGGAGAAATATTTGTAAGCCTAGTTTATTTCTTTCTTTGGGTGTAATTTGTGGTTGTCTATGTGTATGTCCATGGCACCCGCGACACATGGTTTCCCTAGTGCGGGGCAATGTTGAGATTATTGTTTCATTTTTTAAAGTAAGTAATTATTTATGCATTCAGAGGTTTTGTAAAGAATATTCCTTTGAATTGAGGTACTATCGATTTCTTAGGGTTTCGCGATTATTATACATAAATGAAACAATTTTACGTCGTTATAGCCGTCGGATGCCCTGTTTATATGTTTATCGTGATACATTTCATGGTGAGACTCTACCAATGTAATAAATGAAAATGCGATCGAATTTGGGAAATAATGCGATGTAGGGACCAGGCGTAAGCGCCAATGAGACTTAAATTTTTTAGAATAAACTCCATTGACTATCGCCCAATTGCATAAATGACTAAAGGCAAGCGACAAGTGAAACGTCAACCTGTCACGATTAATTCTATGGGCTAACGCCACCCAACTGCACAACGACTATTAAGTGCAATGCTTCATCAAACTTGAGCTCAAATATTTTTATTTCAAAGGTTTCAAAATACTTTTGAAATCGCCATATTAATGAAACTCTCCTGCTCGTTAATTAAGGCAGATTCCCCTAAGAAGCAAGAAACTCTAGGGATTGCTCTTTGTAAATAAAATATTTGTTTACATTTATCATCGAGACAACCTACAAGAGCTTAACAAGTACAATACCATGAATCCACCATCAGTTAACAAGTCTCGAAGTTGTTTTTTGCAACTCGCTGTGATTGTCTAGGAAGAGGGCGAGGTGAGTCACGTACATATACTACACGTACATTTTTTATACCATATAAATGTTTATAATGATAAATAAATGAAGACGTACTTAGGTACCCTTAAATACTAATTGAATTAATATCTTTTGTGTATAAGGTCGTAATTTGTTAGCAGACAACCTTTCGAGGATACGAAATAAAAAAAAAATGGACTATGGGAATAAAGCAGCGGTTTCGAACATTTGGATCGACTAAGCGATTTATTAGCGGTAAGGCTCAAATTAGATTGCCGCGCAACGGAATGGAAGCGGAGTTTTGTTATAAAATTGAACATAGCATAATGGACTATATTTCAATTGTGTAATGTACAAACTAGATACGATACGTTAGGGGGAATTGAGACTGCGCGAGAAGTCTAATCTAGTCTAGTTTATACGTTACACCATTGAAATAAATTTCATTATGATATGGTTACAAAAATTGGCTTCCTGCGGTATTGTAAATTGAGCTTAACATATATCGCGTATATTTGTTTGAAAAAATAAATATACGCGATTTAAATCTGGAAAAATAGTTTCATTTCCCATTGAGCTTAACAGTCAATAAAGTAACAGTTATTTGATTTCTAGTACTAAACCTGCCTTCAAAAGGAAGTTACTAATAAATTGAGACCAGGGATAAACAATACGGCACAATTACAATAAAAAGGGATGTATATCCCAGGTGAAATGAAATACAGCCGTAGCCTAAAATTTTAGAATTGAGAAAACACGTTTTGAAAATTGAAAAAAAGAAACCGAATGGATCTTATTGCGGACAATATGATTATTTTTACTTATACACAATATTTATGGATCCAGTTATACACGAGAATATATATTTATTACTTACATTCAGTAATTTTTTGAACTTTCAAATCGGGTTTTGTCCATTCCACAATTTGAAATTACAACAGAATTTGTTTTCTTGTGCAATATAAAATATGTATAGTCTTCAAATATATTGAAATGAATGAAATATGTAGTTTTATCACTTTTACGCTTACGAATATGTCTGGCGACCCGTAGTCTTCGCTTACTGAGTCAAACCTGGTGGTTTGTGTGTAAAATACATTTTTTTTTAAATTCGTAACACAAAAGTTGAGTGAGTTTATTTTAGAAGCGTTTTGTTAAGAAATTACAAACCCAAAAATGAAAATTTTATACACATTTTGTTTCAAGGAGCCATAACCAAATTATCAATTCGAAATAATTTATATTATATGCCTTCATTCATAGAATGAATTCTTAAATTAAAAGTTTGCATGAAAAGAATCTAAGAAGATTTTTAATTTTGTCTTGTTTGATATTTATATTCAAAATTCATTGTAACGTCTTTTCAATATTGGATGCGCTTAGAAGTTTCTGCTCTTGCGACGTTGTTATAAAGTGTAATTTCCAAGAAAATATTGCTTTATATTTTTACAAATTATGATATTGTCGTAATTTTTGAGCAATGAATTGCACAACCGAGTTAAAAGATCAAGACATAAATTAAGTGTCTTACTGCTTTCCACCCTTAAAAGCATAATATGCTCTGGAAAGTGACATTAAAAAAAAAATAATTTCAATCAATAAAATCTCGCAAATCTGATTTTGCTCTGCTATACGAAATCGCATTACATTAAGCGAATCCCCTCTTTAAATAGTTCCGAATAAACTTTTTCTCTAAACATTCCCAAAACCAGCTATTTCATCATTCTAAACTACCATTGCAAGAACAATGTTTAATACTAGTCCGAAACTAGACACAACTGTGGCTCTGGAAGGACTACGCCAATAATTTTCGTCTTTAGACGACAACATAAGTGAATCTTCACCGTTTAATTCACTGGGACAAGGTAAAGTATCAACAGGCAAATTTACTAATACTACTTGATCAATTTCTGTAGGCTCCATAATAATAGTTTCTTTGGTAAGAATTTCTTCAGTGTCCTTCTGAAATTCGTCTCCTAGGGCGTTTTTATTGTCAATGCTAACGTCATTTGTTTCAATAGTTTTCATAGCACATGTTACATCGTCAAGAGCTTGTATTAGTGGTTCGCTTTTTGTTTCATTCCGCAGAACTTGGACCCAGGATAGACGACAGTCGCAGCTTAGTTGATTGCCTGCAAGAAAAATTATTGATTTTATTGCATTGCGCCACGTAATGGAATGTAAATTTTATGACGGTCGGTGAATATTTTTAAAAGCCACATTCTAGTGCTTTTACGAAAGCACTAAAATGTGCTATAACTAAGTATTTGCATTATTTGTTTTTTTTTAAGTTTATTTACTTTTTACAGTTATTCATTGTAGGCGGTAATTGTAATCTTTATTTTTATATCTTTAGGTGAGAGGTAAAGGCTTTAAGTACCAAATAGTATTTTTTTACTACATACCGATTTAAAGTGAATGAAGACCTTAATTAGGTTTTTAAAATCAGTCTTAAGGTAAAAAACAAACGACGATAGGACTTTAATATCCCAGTAGATCTGTTCTTTGTGACAGAGTTCGCTCAGGGAAGAATTTTACGTTTTTTCTGCCAGCAGTAATGTGAGCATTACTGCGTTCTGGTTTTAGGGTAAGGGTACTGGTGAAATTACAGGCACACGGGAGTTATCAAGTTATGTCTCAGGGTGGCGAGCGCTGTGGCAGTGCCCCTGAGATATTTGCGATTTAAAGCTCTGAGAGGCTTTGCGAGTGTTATGGGCATGCGTCTCGCATACATTTTGTACCATAAAAAAAATTTGCATCCTAAAGCATTTTTGTAAATACATCTAATTCCAAATGAAATACTTAACTTCCTTTATCTCTCACCTACAGAATATTACTTATAATGTGTTTTAATAGAGTTGTCAAGCCTCGTGAATCTAAATTTAAGGAGCTTTATCGTGTGGGTTAATGCTAAAGTCGCTCCGGAATGCTATTTAATTTATACATCTGACCTAGATTAAGACTATCTAAGTATATTTTGTACAGTATCTTGGCATCGTTCGACGACGGAACGGCCAGTATATTGTTACACCACCCAGTCTGTCGTATGTTAATCATACTGTCCTACTGTCTCCTGAGTCTCTCGGTCCCAACACATTCCGTCAAAACGTGGTAAATGTCCTCACAGACGCCGCAATTGCTACATTATGGCGTTAGTGTAATGCCCATCAAAAAGGTATACTTTTTTGAAGGAATGTGTCCAGTAGTGCTAGCACGAAAGGGCGCGACTTGCGCGAGAGCGACATAAAGCGCGAGATCTCTATGCGAGAATAGCAGTATATCGCGCCTTATGTTGTTCTCGCGCAAGTCGCGCCCTACTGTGCTAGCCCTACAGAGCGCAACTTCAGAGCCGTCACAATAATAAGTCTATTCAGCACACTTTATCAATCCATGAAACTTCCTTCAAAGATTTGGTATATACACAACATAATCATAAAAATCGATTTATTTAAATAAATAAAATAATTACATAAACTTATTTTCATGCAAAAGTATATACCCTATTTTTTGTCGGAATGTTACTTTTTCTACTTAATAACTAATGTGCATATAGATTAATCAATAAACATTTTTTGGAATCCGTTTCCGCAAATATAAAAAAATAATTAAAACGGACGCGAAATTATGTACTGTATAGGAAACTATATAAATAATAGTGACATTAGAAACCTTAAAGTACGAAATGACTTAACTTAAAATTTTAAATGAAAAAGTTATAGACATAGTTTGATTCAGAGTTTCAAGTTCCATGTTGTAATGTCGACAATTCATTCTCGTCAAAATTACATAATACGTCCGTTTCGTAAAGTGGCACTCTTTCTAATAAGCAACTAGTCGCGAACGATCGCAGCCGTAGCGGCTAGCTTTACTCGTATTTCAGAGTCGCGGAGGCCAACCGCCTGCGACTAGTCGCTTAGTGGAAAATGCGTGAGTTGTACGAAACGATGTTTGGAAGAAAAATTGGCGTAGCCAAGTTCAGCTTCGGCGAAGCGCGTCGTCACGTACCTCACTTTTTTGACAAATGCAATAAGAGAACATTGCGTAAATAGATGGGGACTTTCATTGGAATAATAAAACAAACATATTTTTGGCAATCAATTGATCAATAGACTAAATTTGGCAACACTGCGCCTTGAATAGCGGGGGATTGTGAAGAGGCAAGTCCACGAATTTGAAAATCAGCGTAAAGCCGATGTTAAACGTGGCGATATAAAAGCCTGTCCACCCACCGCCATTACCTATAATTACGTTGGCGGTTACTCATGTGCCTTCGATGTGCAGTAATGCTCACATTACTGCTTGGCGGTATAAATACGTACGCTCTACATCTGCTTGCAATACGTTACTGTAGAGTTTTAAATGTATTTTAGAAAACAAAAATGCTATTCGTATCAGGAATACGATCATTTCAAACACAATCTGCCAAAACGAATGAACAATTGCGCTCGCTTTCATACATACCAACATATATTTTGCCAGGCTACAACAATGTATATGGAATGCGCAGGCCGGACTATCTACAGGCACAGTGCTAAGTGACATTGAAGGTGGTGCCAAGAAATGCAAAACTGTTTTAAAGAGACACTATCTTGATTTGTAGTATAATATCTATAGTGCTTAATTAAATCTTAACATATACTCGAGAACTAATTAATATTACAGTGAATGTAAGTTAATTTAAGTGTCGAGCTTGTTAGCTCATCGTTAGGTGATTAAACCACAAAGTTTTCATTCATCAGTTACTACAGTTACCCGGGAGGTTTGGAAACTTCAGATATTTTCAAAGAGTTATTTGACCGTGCAGGTTTTATCACGTTCTTCTCCTTCAAGTAAATCAAGTATATTTGAAAAATGAAACTGCACGTAAAACGACAAAAACTTAGTAGTTAGTGCAGGCTCTAAAAAACTATCATCTCGTTTCGGAGGCCGGGACACATTTTGTGTCGCTCAGCCAGCGGAATGAGCAAGTAAGTAGAAAAACCATCCATATTTCCATTCAAGAAACAGGTCGATATAACGTTTATAGTGAGCTTATGAACAATTCAAGGGGCATTTATGCATTGGCAATAAATAACTTTAATTGAGGCTTGCCGCACCTAACCGCTTCCGCGCACGGAATTGGGGTGTTTAAGTGTTGTTCGACTTTTTGGGGGATTTTCGGAAGATAAATTGTTGTCAATATATTGTTTTTTTTTTCTGATATACAAACAGGCAAACTAGCAGATGGATGAAGTAAAAAATTGTTCGACACCATTCATATTAACCTCCTAAGGCCCCGTGTACATCAAAATGTACATAATACGTGAAATGATTCAAACCCAGATAATAGTATTCCTATGATTACATAAACGCTCAGTCATTGTAAATAAAATATCGAATTCAAATTTAGCGCTATATGGCTTATAAGAAAAATATGTTTTTCGTACAACATTGATGGCTTTACTAGCTTGGACCAGAAGCATAATAATTATATTTATTACATTTTTAAACGTACATTGGACATTTAGCGTTTTTCTCATTGTATTTTACTGGGTTTTAGAATGTTAAGTGTACCTTCAAACACCAATCGAATTGTTTCTATGAAAGTCTGATGTAACCATTGACTTACAATTATATGGACGTCGGGTCCGCGCTAAAAAGTGTCCGCACTTGTAAGGCGCTAAAATCGTATACAGAGCGCCAAACTCCGCTTTAGTCTTCATTTGTTCGACTGACAGCGCGATACTGCGATGACATTACAATTTAAATTTCGAATAGGTTGACTTGGAACATTTTTTACGTGGTTTTTGTATTAGACCCGTCGTCCATTTATTTGTAAGTCAATGGATGTAACCGAAAAATTTCAGTACAACATCGTTCACCAACTACTACCAAGCCTATCGTAGTCCGAGAACGCAATTCCGTATCTTTCACGAAAGACTAATAATGTAGGTTTTATTATCGTCATCATCATCAACCCATTTATACGTCCCACTGCTAGGCACGGGTCTCCTCTCAGGCAAGGGTTTAGGCCATCGTCCGCTACGATGACCCAATGCCTAACAACTATCACTGCAGTAGAAGATACAAGTTGTTTACCACCCCGTAGTCCCGAACCGTAGCGTGCCCCCTGTTCCTGTTCCTGTCAATTCTCTCCGTGCCACCAACCCTGAATGTCACTTGTTTGCGGCACAGGAATATCGTCAGAACTTTTGCGTTATTGTGAAAAGGGATGCTTAAAAGGGTAAGTACCTAAATATCTTATAAGATCATTTTTAAGTTGTTAATCATGTTTCTTCAATTATTATAATTGGTGTGTCGTAATAAGTAAAAAGTAAATAAATAAAATAAAATAAAATGCCGGTTGGAGAATTCACGTTTTACAAGGGCTGTGAATCTTCTTCAACGTGCAGGTTTCATCACGTTTTCCTTCACCTCAAGCTCATGGTAAATTTCTAATTAAATTAAATTTCGCTCATAAATTCCGAACAACTCGGAGGTGCTAGCCCAGATTCGAATTCTAGTCTCAGAAAGCACTTCCATTGTTCCCACAATTCCTATGATTCAATCTTGCACGCACGGTACACGGTATTTTCATGTTATTTTATTTACTTTACTAGTCCATTTGACAAACAAACTAACACCATATCGCACAATAGCATTAATAATAGTAAATCCGAAACACGCGCCAAAGGATAATCATATCATGAGAAAATGAGATACTGATTTCCACGACGTAGAAGACATGTATGAATAGGACGTCGATTTTTGTAAAAATAATAATAATATTCATATAGACATTCTAACTCTTGTGCAAGAAGGAAAGGGAAAAGAGATTAATTTGTCATGAAAAGTTAATTCTAATACTGTAAACCTCTTCACGCGGTGCTTAGTTTAATTATTAAGGTTAAATAGACCCTTAAAGTCTCCGGAGGTCGTTAAAGGGCGAGTAAGGTCATGGGGGGCCCGCCAACTCAGCTATGGACTATGAAAACAAACTGTCCATAGCTGGAGACTGATGGATATTGGATTAAACCGTCTTATATTATTGTAATATTAAGTTTATTGAATATCACGATGTGTTACAATCATGATATTCGATTGTATTTTTTTTTGTGAAATTACTCCACTAGTTTAATATCATGATAGTAAAACATGGTGATATTAAATAAACTTAATATTACAATTATTAAGCTACATCTCTAGTCAGCCGCTAGTGGCTGAATGAAGAAAAACTTTCTTAGATTTCTCATTGATGGCACTACGACAAAAAGTCGTCAAAAACCAAAAACAAAGATCTACAATAAGCACATAGAAAAATTCGTAAGATCTGCTGGTTCGCTCAGTCCAGCATGGTATGCTGAAGGCGCTAGTACGAATCCTGTACTGTACTGTAAATATGTACGTTATAAACTTTAAAAAATTTAAAACATACTACTTGTACCTTTCCACATCAAGAGAAACTTAGAATGTCTATACACAATATTATATAATAGTAGTCAAAAGGCTGATTTTTAATAAAACTCCATTCAGTCCGAAATCGAGTTATTATACCATTGTTGACTTGATAAAGGGGATTGCAACACTCATTAATTGTCCCTAATACGAAGGGTGCTTTCGAAGGGATCACCACCCAGTAGGGAATGCATTGTGTGCCCTTGAATATAGTTATCTTCCCATAGCTGAATGTGAACAAAGAGTACTTAAATACAGTTGTAATGCATCTATGTCTATGAGTTTTTTACGTTGGAAATTAAAATTGGTACTTGAAGTTATGTTAACCTATTTATTGTTGTTTGGCATCCACGTGCATGATGTTATAATGATTTAAATTCTCAGCTAGAAATGTACACATTTATAATTGTCCATAAAACATGCCTCTATACAATGATATTTTTATTAACCTGTTTCTTTTTAATACGAAATTACTATCGTTAACACCGAGTAACTGTTAGCAAAATGAGAATTATTTAGCTTGAATTTTCTCTTGTTATCGGCAACAACAAGGCTCTTTCTTCCTCAGAAGTGTAAAATCACAAAGTAACACGAAAGTTTCAACTTACCACTCAGATAAAGTACCGACGTCTTCACTTTCAAGTTGTCTATAATCGGCTTAATTGTTTCGTAAGTAAAGAATTCCAATTCATTGTTCCTCAAATCCAGGAGCTCGAGTCCTCGAACGCCTTCCAAAAGTCCTTCATTAATTGACTTCAACTTGTTCCCTGTCATAGATAGTTTCTGGAGCATCGTCAGCCCGTCGAATGCCCTTTGAGATAAGTACTTCAACTCATTATTGTCTAAAAGCAGCTCATTTAAATTCCATAGTTCCGCGAAAGTCAAATCTCCTATCATAGACAATTTGTTCGTCCGTAGATCCAATCGCGTTAAATTACCTAAACCCCGGAAAGTGTCTCTAGTCAACACCGTAATTGAATTGCTCTCCAATATCAGATCATTGAGGACCGTCAAATGTTCAAAACAACCATCGTGGGCCAATGTAATACTGTTGAATGACAAGTCTAAATACCTTAACATTGGCAAATCGACGAAAACATCTCTCTGAATTTCTGTTACTTTATTCTCTTTTATGGTTAAGTTTACGAGTGAAGGGAGGTTTGCGAATGCAGAGAAATCCAGCTCGGTTATTTTGTCGTTCATTAGCGTTATGTCTCTCAAAGTTGTGATGTTTGAGAATGTTTTTTTTTCTATTTTGCTTAGCGTTGCGTAGTGGATGTACAGTTTTTGGAGCCTTTTCATGCGGTGTATGACGTGTAATGGGACAAATTTGAGTGCTCCATCTGATCGTACGTTGAAAGTTAGTTTTTCGAGAAAAGGTTGAGAATTAAAGCTATTCCATATTGGGTCTGATTCGTCGATGCCACCATTAAATACCCAGCAATCTGCTCTTGTTGCAGTTTTTACATCAGTGCTCTCGCAATAGCAATGGACTTTAGAATCTCTATCTGTGCTTTCACATATGTTGTCTTTACTTTGTGGTGCGTGATACCGCCTTTCAGTTTTATCCCTCCGTTTTTCATTTAGTCTGCTCTCAGTATAGGATATTTGCACTGAGGTCAGAGCCAGAGCTAGCAGCAAATATTGGACGACCGTCTCCATTCCTTTAGCTTTCATTCTGAAACAAAAAAAAATCGACGCATTAGACATTGCTATTAAAAAGGGCTTTGAGTAAAGTATCTAATTTAAAAAAATAAAATGAAGGGTTGCTTTTTCTAAATAATTGTTCAATAACTCGTCTAACTGATCTCTTGAGATCTCTTTTCAATGTTAATTGATACAGAAAAAAATTGTATTTACGAAAAAAAATCCATATAGGAAAATAAAACAACATCAGAATAGAAGAACATAAACTCGAACAATACATACAAAGGACACATTAATCACTACGTGTGTATAATTAAGCGTCATTAAAACAAAATTAACGACTTTTTGGTAGGGTGAATGTGTCAGTTTCCGAAACGTAATCATTACTTTACAATGTCACATGTATTGACGTGTATGTCTTTGCTAGGGCTGGGAATAACATTAAGTGGATTTTATGTTGATTCAAATGAATAGTGTAGTTAACTTGTGTCGAGACTTTTTAAATCATCTAGATTAATTTACTAATTATTCTGCCCTCCTTGTCAGTGTGAGGAAATGAAGGAGTTTTTTTTTCAGATCTAAATAGCGTATATTTGTTTTTTAAAACAAACGCACGCTTCGAGCTCTTTACAGGTCCCATTGCCACAAATATACGTAATTATAACTTGTTTAAACAGCAAAGGCAAACATCATTATGCAAGTTGAAGAAGGTTAGCGAAACTCGCAATGGGCCAGTTTCGTGGACTATGACATACACTATTCTTAGGGGAAATCGTGCCACTGTAATGAAAGTTTTTTTTTAAATTGATGTAGACAATGAGGACTGAATTTCTTTGTAAATTTAGAGCAATGCATTTACTGTATACATATTTTTTAACCTAGTAGGAAAGTGAATAACAAGTACTAACATTTTTTTATGATAAAATTGCAAGAGACGGGACGAACAAGTCGTGCGACTGGTGGTAACCTGTCCATAACAAGAGCAGTGCCGCTCATAAATTTAAGTCGCTAGGATCTGAAGGATACTGCCACTGCGCCTGCTAAGCTGCGACGTAACTTGGCAAGTCCTATGATGTTAAATAGAAAGACGTGTGTGTCAGGGTTGCCGCAATGGCAGGCTGTATTCTCTGACTACCCCGACGGGAAAAGGGCGTGAAATGTATGTATCATATGATTAAAAGTTACATTTTCTAGCCAGATACGTTTTGGTAAACGTATAAAATTTCGAAAAGAGGCTGGTAACGTTCACCCTTTGGTTGGTTAGGGTTTCACAGTTACTAAACTGCAGCCCTGGCTGGGGTTGACCCATTGAACTTTTTGGGATTTTATGCTATTCTGGTGACGTAACCCGTGTCATGCTTGCTTGTTTTTAAATATGGAAGGGCTCTTTACCTTGTTGTTATAACAAAAAAATATTTGAGGCTTTTGTTTGACTTCATATCAGAAGTTTTGACGTTTATATAATAAAGTCACCTTTGAATTATATTACAAAACTAACGTTTACTTTGTATTCAAAAGTAGACTTATAAAAATGAATAAATCATTTTATAGTGATGCGTGGCATTCATACATCACTAAGGTCGTGCACTCTAATTTGTGGGGAGTGCGTAATGCGAACATATCACGTGACTCCGTTCATTTACTGCAGTCACTTTTAATAAAAATGCCCCTTTTAAAATGTTGAGGAGAACCCTATTCAATAATATTTTATGCATAAAACATTAGAGGCTATCCATACAGCCAACAACCAACAACACAAAACCAACAAGCGGCAACGCTGGTTGGTTTTTCTTTTATTTGGAATGCACAAAATGATTGTAAAGTTTGAATATTTAAATATGGTAAAATGGTACAACTACATATATACGAGTATTTATTATTAAGTATAAGTTCATGTAGATATATTTATAAAGGCGAAATTACTAACTGATAAAAAGGCCAAAATGGCGCTTTGGAACTTTCGCCTTTCCAGTGACGATATATGCAAATATACAATGTAGGTATAGGTACTGCTATATAGGTACATGGTTATTTGTTATAAATAATAATAATAACGACAACGACAACGACAACGACAACGAAAACGACTACGACAACGACAACGACAATAATAATAATAATAATAATAATATCGCACGCATTCATAGCCCTGCACTAGGAAAACCCAGTATCGCGGGTGTCATAGACATACACATAGATAACCATAAATTACACCCAAACTCACGAGAGAAATAGATGTAGGCTGTATGAATATTTCTCCGGTCTGAAAATCGAACCAGGGACTTCAGCGTGGCAGTCTAGCATGGTAACCGTTCGGCCACAGAGGCAGTAGCACTAGTCGATTTGAAATGAATTTATTTCAACAAACATTGTTTTGAAAAACATTTGGTTGAAACCCGTACTGGTATAAGGAAATAATCTCAATAAAATCTTTGATATTAATTACCAATAGGCAAATAAGTCGAGAAATTGTTTGATCGATGAGGTTACATTTAAGAAAATCAATCGCGATAATCACATCTATTCGCAGTCACGGATAAAGCAGCAAAAGTACCGCCACTTCGTTCATCTCTTTCACGGTGCCAAAATCTGTTGGCACATAGGTTGTGCAAGGAGGCGGTTCTACATTAATCAGTCTCTTCTTATTAAAAATCTAGCCTCTTGTCGGTGAAGTAACCAGCTACCATCTCTTAATTTTGAGTTAATTCAAAGGGCAATGATGCTTCTATAATAAGATTCACGATTTTCAAAACTATAGAGAAACAAACACTATAATATAAAAATTTAAAATATTATTATTCAGCTTCTGCGTACTCGGATGACAAAAATTTGTGGTAGTGACCCGTTTAGCTCATGCAGATTGTAAATGACGTAGTAGCAATTAAGCTTTTTGTGAAAGAGTTCTTAAAGGAATGTCACCTTACTTATTTCTGCCACCAAGCAGTAATGTGAGCATTACTGCGTTTCGGTTTTGAAGGGCTACAGGCATATAGGACTTGTCTACTTATGACTGGTCTAAGGATGACGGGTGCAGTGGAAGTGACAGATTTTTGAGATGTAAATCTCTGAGTGACACTTCAACTCTTATGGACAGGCGCGTGTCGATTACCACTAGGTGCACGACTAGTTTGTCCCATCATTTGGTATAATAAAAAAAATGTTTATGTACAAAAAAATGACCTCAGAAGTACGTAGAATTACCAAGTTTTATTGGAGTCGGTTACCGGAAAGTGCGCAAACCGTGATTCATCCCCTAGTTCACCACTGTACGAGACTTGACACAAACTACTCAAAGTATATTGAGAGAGAAAAACGCCTTAAATTGGAGAATAGCAAAATCAACCATTAAAATAATTGCTCCTTATAAAAAAATTAGGTGCTGTTTATAAAAATGAATCTTCATGCGTGAAGATTCCTTTTTATAAATAGCGCTGAGCCACCCTCAGGGGTGGATGATTTTCTTCAAAATTAAAAAAAAATCATGGAAACCGGTTCACAAATACCGGAGTTACCGCGTAACATACATACGAAAAAAAAATCGGTTTCGGTCGGTTAAAAAGTTACGCCGTTCTTTCATAATCATTTTTCTCAAGGGATTCTGCTTTACGAATGAGCAGTAGAGTTTAATCAATATGGCCGATTTCAAGTGTAATTTGCTTACAGATGAAAAGTTTATTTGAGTTTGAGTTTCACTTGCCGTCTATTAGTCAGTCTTGTAACACATATTCGTGTATAAAATTAAGGGCCGGTTTATATGACAAGCGTTTTGTTAACGCGAGCTCAACACGCATTAAAACTCTTGTCATCTATACAGCATGCCTTATCATTAACAACGTAATCGACATTTTTCGCGAAATTGAGTTATTTAACTGCCTCTGTGGCAGAACAGTTACCATGCCGTACTGCCACGCAGAGGTCTCAAGTTCGATTCCCGGGCCCGGAGAAATATTTGTATGGCCATAGTTATTTCATTTGCTCTCGTGAGTTTGGGCGTAATTTGTGGTTTTCTATGTGTGTGTCCATGGCACCCGCGACACAGGGTTTCCCTAGTGCGGGGCTATGTTGAGTGTGTGCGTTATTATTATTAAAATGTTATTATTAGTATTATAATATTATTATTATTATTATCGTATTTATTTTAAACTCTCGCCTCTCCCAAGGCCTAAAAAATTAATTTTGAATTTTTAGATTTATTATTATTATTATATTATTATTATATTGTTTTTTTATTATTACTTTAAACCATTTATTCCGAGTAACTTTTACGTGACTCATATTTGTGTAGTTTATAAACTGGGGGTTAATTTTAAATAATTGACTGACGTGTATGCGTGTCCAGTCTGTTCGCAATCATATTCAGGATGATACTGGAACTGGCCTACACCCTACACACCATAGAGGTGGCGCGCTTGCGCATGATTTATTTATTTATTTGTTCATTCATCCATCCATTAATTAATTATTTAATTCATTTATTTATTGCAAAAAATTAGCCAGTATTACAGCAAAATACCAAGACACTATGAAATTCATAAATATCAACAACTTGTATTAATAATTCACAGAATACAGACGGCATGGAAGCCGTCAACGCGCGTCTCGCAGAACATGCCCGAGGCTCTGCAGCAGCGGGTCAGCAGTACCATCCTGAACGCGTTATTATACTGGGCGCTAAGAGCTTCAAATGCGCAGCAGCTGTAATTAGTCCATAGGTTATAAAAAAAGTTGGTGCAGAATGATCTAAATAATACTATTTTCACTTCACGTGTGCACCTAGCGAATCTACGGGCTATCATGTCTGCTCCTACAGATAAAGCCCTCGTCTCCCTTTCGAAGTCGTCAAGATATTGCCATAGGTACCTGGAATTACCGAAACAAGATCTACTACTTCCTATAAGTGGTTTCTTTATGTATTATTTAGTTTCAGTTTTATTAATAAGTAATGAAAATGATAGTGCCTAATTTGGAAAGTTACCAAAATACAAATGCGTTGTTTATGACCAGGAAGGCTACATAGCCTTAAGTAAAGTC